AAATTTAAATTAAATAAAAAAAATTTTCTTCAAAAAGTTGTTTAAGTATATTGTTTAACTTAAGGAAATATAATTAGATTTATTAAAACAAACTTTTTTGTTTCGTTTTTTATTGCAAAACAATTTGAATGAAAAAATCAATTAAAAACATCAACTAAAAACCATTTGAGTGAAAAACTTAATTAAAGTTAAATTTTTAACAGTACGCTAGATCAAGAAACAATAAATTATGAAAAACATGATATCTAAAGTTTTTTTGCTTTGATCTTACTCTTTTGGTCAATAGATTATAGACTCGTATGGTCTATAGACATGTGTTTGCGCAAATATGAAGTTTAAAGTTTTATGATGATAATGTTTTAATTTATTAATGAGAACAATTCTATTTATTTATAAATAGAATTGTTGGATTAAAATTTTTTTTTCGATATTGCATTTTTTTCGTTAATTGGAGCCCTAATATATATATATTATATATTATATATTATATTATATATATATATATATATATCTATATATATATATATATATTATTTATATATATTTATTTAATATATATATAATATATATATATATATATATATATATATATATATATATATATATATATATATATCTATATATATATATATATATATATATATATATATATATATTATATATATATATATACAGCGGTGGCCAAAAATTAAAGACCACTCACTTTTTTTTCAAAATTTATTTTTAACCTTAGTATGATTTTATTTTGGAAAAAGATATCAAAAAAAGAAAAACATTTTTAGAAAGAATTTTTATTGTATTTTATATTTATTATAAAAGAATAAGTTTTTTACAAAATTATGGTTTAAAAATTAAAAAACTGACTAGTAAAAAATATAAATGGAAAAAAATTTGGACATTTAAAGACCAGTTTCAAAAATATTTCAAAAAGCAATAAAAAAATTTAGAAACGTGATGTTCCTCTATTTGTTTTCAAGCACTCTTGTTCTCGTTCTGGCATTGAATTCATTAAAGTTTTGATTACTTCATCTGGCACATTATTCAAATGATGAGAAATAGAAGATTTCAAATCTTCTAAATTGTAAAGTTGTTCTTTACCAAGCTTGTGATCAAGCCATGACCATAAATTCTCTATTGGATTTAAGTCTGAACTATTAGCAGGCCATGGAAGCACTTGAATTTTATTAGAATTGAACCAATCGCTAACTACATGCACTTTATGATACAGCGCATTATCTTGCTGGAAATAAATCCATCTTGCAACTGCTATAAATCAAAGCTAGGAGTAAGCGAGTTTTCCAAAATTTTGATGTACCTTTTTTTGTTGAGTCTACCATCGAATAAATGAAAAACGCTAACTCCACAGGCACTCATGCAGGCCCAAATGCCTATTGAACCACTGCCTTGTTTTGTTTGTTTCAAAATGCATGATTCATCGAACCGTTTGCTTGGAAGTCTACCCAACATTACACAACCTATTCTATTGTCTACCTCAACGTTCATTTCATCACTAAAGACCACACAGTTTCACTGATCTGTTGACTAATTTTTATGTAGTTTGCATCACTCTTTCCTGGCAAATTTTTGTTTTTTATTTAAGCGTGGTTTTTTTTTGCAGCACGCTATAAATAATTTAAATTGTGGAGGACCCTTCGCAGAGTTCTAGGGGTTGCTTTCAGACCATTTGACAGTGTCCATGTAGACAAGTCTGTAGATGATGCTTGTCTGTTTTCTTTCATTAATCTCACTAACGAGCGAACATCACGGTCATTTGAAATTTTATTGTGTCCAGTCCTATGACAATCATTAATTGACCCGGTCTCTTTGTATTGTTGAATTATGTTAATAATGCAAGAGTGAGACCTTCCGAGCTTTTCTGCTATTTGTCTGATGCTATAGCCTTCTTCTTTTGATACAAGAGCCGCGTATCTTGTACGCATTTTTGCAATATTTTTATAACCTTATTGCAATTCAAAAAATAAATGTTTATTTGATATCGAAGGTTTCAACATTTTATTCTATAGTCAAGTAATAAGCAATAAAGACAGTTAAAAAAAAAAAAAAATCAATTATTATTTTTAATAAGTGCAAATTAAAGATTTGAAAGTGGTTGTTAAATTTTGTCCAATTTATTTAAAGGAGATTTATAAGTACTCATCAGTTTTTTAATAAGTTAAACGCTATTTAATTAGAATTAGATTAAAAAATTATACCATTTTAATCTGTATGTTTCAATTTACAAGATATTAAAAAAAAAATTCAATATGTCAATTAGAATCTTCTTAATTTTGATTTAAAGATTAAGAAAATAACTAGAAAATGAGTGGTCTTTCATTTTTGGCCACCGCTGTATATGCATATATATATATATATTTATATGTATATATATATATATATATATATATATATATATATATATATATATATATATATATATATATATATATATATATATATATATATATATATATATGTTATACATATATATATATATATATATATATATATATATATATATATATATATATAATATATATATATATATATATATATATATATGCATTTTTTGCGTTAATTGGAGCCCTAATATATATTATATATTATATATTATATATATATATATATATATATATATGTATATATATGCATATATATATATTTATATGTATGTATATATATATATATATATATATATATATATATATATAAATATATATATATATATATATATATGTATGTATATATATATATATATATATATATATATATATATATATATATATATATATATATATATATATATATATATATATATATATATATATATAGAATAAAAATAAAATAATAGAATAATAAATGAATGAAATATCATTTTTAACTAACTGCCTTCCAATGTTCTTTCCAAAACTTCATATGAACTGATTCCATTTCCCATAGAATGGAAAGCTAAAACTCTCAATGTATAAGTTGTAGTTGGAGCTAACCTTTCTATCACCAAATATGTTGTATTCTAAATTGAAATTAATTTTAGATGCAAAATTTTATTTATTTGAACTTTAGAAGACTAAAAATAAAAAAATAAAAAAAATTATAAATATTGCATCATTTAATTGTTTCGATTTAATGATACCAATGATTGGATACCAGCTAATGATTGTAAATAGAAATGAAAATTCAAGTTTTATTACAAAGTTTTATATGTCATGCATTTCAAATATTGTTCTGATTATAAAATTAAACAAATCCTATATGCATGATTATATTTATTTAAAAAAAAATTTTCTTTCAACAATGCTGCAAACAACTACTGTTTAGATTGGAAACTTAATTTATATATTCAAATATATATTATATATTAGATTCTCTTTACTAGATTAACTGCTAGAAAGAAAAGAAGTTAAAGAGCAAGATAAAAAAGAAATACTGAATAATATAAATACTGTAAATTATGAGTCGCTATTAGCAGAAGAAACATTTAAAGAAGCAAACTTTGCAATAGATTCTATACATGGTTTCAATTATAGGTCATAAGTAATAGTAAAAAATAATCTAAAAAAATGTAATGTAGATGTCTCAGTTAAAGTTGGCATAGACCAAAAAAGGATTATTAACATATTGCACCAGTTATTAATTGAGTTTTGTTAGAATTAAAGTTTAAACCTTGTGACAGAAAAGAAGTCAGATTCAATCTCCGCAGTCTGTTTGAAGCAATCAAATTTTTTCTCAAGACTGAAATTTATAGTTGTGTCATCAGTAAATAGAGCCACCAAAGAAGTATGATATTCAGGAAGATCAGTTAAAAAAAGAATTCATTTCTGTATTGTTTATTACAAAGTAATTTGAATAAAATATTAAAAATTTATTAATTAAAGACCTTTCTAGTAATAATAGTAACTTCATCAAGCAATTGTTAAAAAGCTTAAAACAAATCTGAGTTTTTAAATATTAAAAACACAAATGTCATTTTTTACCAGGTAAGAAAACAAGATTCAATCAAACACTTATTAAATATATTAAAGAGGATTGAAGAAAGTTCTGCAGTTTATGTTAGACTGTGACAAGAATGGTGTCAAAACTATAAGCTGCAGGAGTGTTGAAGTAAGAAACAACTTCAACATTGGAAGTTGATTTAAGCATTAATAAGATAGACCCATATATGAACAATAAAATGTTGGGATTTCTTTAGTTAATAACAGTTTAAATTATTTCTTTATAGTCTTTTAACCTAAGAAAATTTTAAGCTTTTAGAATTATTTTCTATATTATTCCCAAAAGAGTTGTTCTGGTAAAGAAGATAAAAGAAATGACTATGATAGCAGTTGTAATATTATTATTTGAATATTATCCTTACATAGCTTTAAGAAAATAGTAAGTAGCCTTAAGAAAATAGTAAGTAGCCTTAAGAAAATAGTAAGTTTTATTAAGTAGTAAGAAGTACGAATCTGAAGTACAAGAAAAATATTTCCATAACACATTGCAAGGTCTGATCCATATAAGGATAACAAGAAAACACAAAGTACAAGATTGGGTAAGGAGCAAAAATGAATATAAGTACCCAAAAATGAAAATAAGTTAACTATATTAGTAAGAAATTGAAAAAATAAAAAATTTGAGTCTTACTGCCAGCAGGGTTAGTGGAACTAGAGCCAAGCCATTTAATGAGATGAACATTAAAGTAACCAAATAATATTATAAGCAATATAACAATACAAATTATAAAAATAATATTATAACAATACAAATGGAAAGAAAATGAAACAGAAAAAGCTTATCTGATTTGATCAAGTATAACATAAAATATGTATATATACTCAAAATTTTAATAAGGGACTCCTAATATGGTCTCAACAATTCATATTAAAGGTCCTATGTGGGACATTCAAGTGCAACATGGCATTGTTTAATGGTTTGATATTTTACAAGTGTTGATCTAACCTCTATGAGAGCTACCATAAAGTTTGGAAACTTTACTACCATAAAAGAACAAGTCAAATGCAAGGAGTCAAAAAAAATCCAAAGTATCTTAAACATACCAATGTAATACATGTTTATATCTACATTAGCCTATTAGATAAAAAAGAGTGAAAATAAATACTTTACCCTCATATATATACATACTACACTCTCATTAAGAAATGACAGAATGAGCTAAACACCCAATTCAAAGGAGGCACAAGCAAAGTTCCATAAGTCAGAAAAATAAAGTTAACATCTATGCCAGCCTCTTTGTTAAAAATGGGATGTAAGGTTGGTTGATAGAAACTTTCTGCTCACCCCTAAAATTTTTATCCTAGAGGTCTTTTACAAGAAAGTTGGTTACAGTTTATATTTGCAAAAAAGTGAGTATTTTTCTGGAGGTCTTGGCTATATCCTTTACTTAACAATGAGGCCCAAGTAAAGTATATCAAGTCAGAGTTAAAACATTGCCTTGCCCAAGCCTAAAAAACAAAGTTCTACAACACAACTGCATATGTTGCAGGTTGAAATTATTTATGTAAATGTTACTTGTAACAAGTAACCCCATAAAAAAACAGCAACCATACAAAATACCAGCAACCACACAAAAAAACAGTATTATACAAAACACCAGGAACAACATGAAATATCAGAAACAGATTTAACAGATAACATTTTCTAAAACTAAACTTATCATTTACCCCTTGTGTTATTTATTTATTTATTTTTGCCAATTTTTTTCTTTCTTTTTTATAATATTCTTTTAACTAGATTATTATCAAGATCTTTCCATTTAAAGCAACTTGCAAACTTGATTATGTACTCCTATTTATAAAAAAATCCTTTACAAGCTTTATATATGAAAAAAAGAAATGTTAAAAAAAGCCTATATAAATGCCTATATTTAATGCCTTTATTTAAGCATTTATTTAAAATGCCTTTATTTAAGCCTTACATATTTTATATAGGTCTTACCTATATATAAGCCTTACCTTTATTTAAGCCTTACTTATTTTATATAAGCCTTACCTATATAAGCCTTACCAATATAAATTAAATAATTAAATAGCAAGGATTTGCCTTAAAAATTTTTTTGTTATAACATTGGATTGATTAATGGAATGAGAGTCAAAGTTTCTAGAAAATGTCCAATAAATTGTCCAAAAAGAAGTTTCTGACCTATATAAGCCTCACCAATATAAATTAAATAATTAAATAGCAAGGGTTTGCCTTAAAAATTTTTTTGTTATAACATTGGATTGATTAATGGAATGAGAGTCAAAGTTTCTAGAAAATGTCAGATAAATTGTCCAAAAAGAAGTTTCTGACGAAAGTCCAACAACCAATTTTTTTGACAATCAATAGAAAATTTAGTTTTTTCATTTTCCTGCTAATTTGTTAACGATAATAACAGGTGACAAGGTAAGGACCTTTTGATATAAAAAAGTTTTGGTATAATAAAATGTTCTTTCCCATAAGCTCACACCAAATAGCAAGCATTCCCAGGAAGAATTTCCTAATTGCCTGTGAATGCATAAAATATATATTTTTTGAAAACTTAACTGTTTTGATATAATATGTGTCTCAAAAATTTGCAGAAAAAACTACAAAAAAAAAATTAAAAAAAAAAAATCTTAACAGAACAAAAAAACTAAAATAAAATAAACTAAAAAAATTTCAAAACAATAAAAAAATATTTAATTTTTTTTTATTTAGGAGTATTTGTAGTTTTTTAAGATATGAAGTGATATGGTTTCAGAAGTTTCATCTTGTGTGTTTTCTAAATTTTAGAATTTTATTTTGGATTTAAGTAGTATTGAATAATGATCAGAAATGGTGTGATTGCATAAGTTAAAAAACATTGTTGGCACAATCTTACCAATTGTGTTGCTTTCAATAAATATTTAGTTAAACATAAGTAAACATAAAAAAAAGCTAAAACTGGCCTTCTTAATTTCTTTATGCAATATATCCAGTAAAATATAGTAATGTAAAATATAAATTATATATTATATATATAGGCTTTGGCGGGAACAAATGAATACAAGAGCAGAGAAAGGTTCTCCTAAAACAAACTTGGGGAGCTGTGCGAGCTGCTCCTCAATTAAATCGGCGCTCTTTTCTAATTTTTTTTTGCAACAACCTTGCCTTTTAAAAAGCATTTCAGTATATTATGCAATTAATTTTTTCTAAATGACATTGTGTTTTTTATTTTATTTAAAATGATAATTATATTTTTATGAGAAAAATTATACTTTTGCGAGAGCCATAAATAGCTCTCATAAATTGTTTCAGGAGAGTGTGGGCAAGAGCGAGAGCTAAAGCTCCCACTTCCAGCTGAGGCCTGTATATTATATAATTTACATTATTGTATTTTACTAAAGATATGTTATAAATAGTGTTTTTTCAAATTGTAACAATACCTGACAAGATACCCAATCCCATTGAGAGTTTGGATCTAATGATACTCTGTAAAAAACTGTATAACCTTTAACTGTTAAATTGCCATCAATTGTGACATTTACAGGTGTCCAGCTTGTATTTATTGAATCATATGATATTGCTGTAGCATTAAAAACTACTGGAGGAGGTGGAACTGAAATTAACAACAAAATTTAGTTTTAAATTCTATTAAAAATTTTTAATGTAATAAATTGTGACTTTCATTCCAATATAGAAATTTAAGTAAAAAATCCAAATCAAAATAGGAGAAAGTATTAACCACATTATAAATATCAAAAAATAAACTTTGGTTCGGGTTTGAGCATTTATGTATGCATTAATATGTATGTTTGTTATTATTTTATTAAAGCAAGCAGTAAATATTAGTACAAATTCTAAATTAACAGTAATGATAATCTTATTATTGCATATTCTTACACAGCGTGTTACATATATTTTAACATAGCATATAGAATAGCAGATAAAATAGCAAATGAGAAAAGTTTGAAATTTCTTTTGTTCTTTTATAAATATAAAAATGTGGTAAATTTTTTTTTTGTTTTTTGTTTTTTATGAAAACTTTAAAATTAAAAATGATTTTATCTTGGGCAGATGTCAACTGCATCCATCTACAATCTTGTAAGAAGATTCCTAGGCAAAGACTTTAGAGGTAAGCAGAACAATTCTGCTAACCAGCCTTGAACCCTTCTTTATCTATCAAGCTGTCATAGATATAAACCTATGTTACATTGTTTCCTGCCTAGGTGATATATGCTGGATCTTATTGACTCTACTCATAGTTTTTTGTTGATGCTTCCTCAAAAGTGGCTATGCAACTTATCAGCTTCCTTTACTAAAGCCATATCTAAATTAAGCTCTTCTATGGCTTGTGGTCCAGACAACATTCCTGTCATAGTCTTACAAAATTGTTCTTCAGAACTCTCTTTAATTCTCTCTAAACTATTTAATAAGTGGTTGACTGAGTCTTGTTATTCTCCATGCTGGAAGATGGTATCTATTGTTCCAATTTTCAAAAACTCTTTTCAAAAAAGGGATCAAAATGCTGAACACTTTTTTAGATTATGGATAGATTCGTTTTGTAAGTGGATTTGTGCCTGAGCCTAGATTGTTCTTAAGATCTTTAAAAAATTTGATAAGAACCATTAGAGTGTCTTCACCACCTGGGTCTTTATTTTTTTCCTAGAAGGTATTTTACAACCTCTGTTTTGTTCTTCCAGTAGCCATAATATCATCACATAAGTAATTGTTAAAAAAAATAAACTTTCTGTTGAACTATCAAGTCTGATTTGCCCACCATGCTTTGATCCCCAAGTTTTAATTTTTTATCTAGTTTTCCTAATGGAATATTATAAGTTTTAGAAGCCTTTCTTATAATAAATTCATGGTTTTCACATTATTTATAGCAGTTTCTAGGTCTTCTTAAGTGTATTTTGGTTTATAACTATTAAACTATCCAAACCAATTGAAAAATGTTTTGTGTAGCTAAAAATAAACTTTTGTATAATATATTTAAAACAACTGAATTAAAATAATAAGATATTGTTTTTTTTTCATCTTTAAGCAAATTTGGTACGAATATTTTTTTTAATGGTACATGTTATAGATATAAAAATGATGTTATGCTGATATAAAAATTTTTAAAAGCTGATTTAAAATTTTTAAAACCTTTATAGTAGACAGATAAGATGGGTATCATTTTCACCAATAAAAACTGTCCTTGTGAAGCACATTTAAGTTTCCAACATAATCTCTTATTGAGTGAGCAAAAATTTTGTAAACTTTTATGCATATAGTAATGCATATGTTTAATGTTTCAAGCTTGTACGAACTTCACAAGGACAAGGGCACACTTATGACAGGGTAGTCATGATAATTAACTGCAGCATAATTTTTTTTTTTGCCTAACAAATTTCCACTGTAAATAGAATGTAAAATTTTATATATATATTTTTCTGCTTGAGGCCAAGTGCTGAGCACCTACATAATTTTGCAGTTTTTTGTAAACATAACATAAACGTTATTAAGTATAGATATTATAAAAATCAAATATGAATATATATCTAAAAAATATATCTAAAATGCTAGTTCAGACATTTGAAATGAGAGGAAAGATATTAAATAACTAGTAATCTATTTCATTTTGAAATTTTGTTAATGATTTTTATTTCCTTAATAAACATTCAATTAGTATATATTACAATAATAATTTTCAAACTTGCTATCTGGTTTAAAAATGAATAAATTACCAATTTGCTACAAAAAATGATTGATAGGATTTTAAATTATTCTGAAACAGTTCAAACTATAGATTATAATCATTGTAAATACATTTAAAAACCATTTTGTATATACACAGTAATATACACAGTATTTTATACTGTAAACTGTGTATACACAGTTTACAGTATAAAAATTGTAATTTGTTTATGAACTATAGAAACTAAAAATTATATATATATATATATATATATATATATATATATATATATATATATATATATATATATATATATATATATATATATATATATATATATATATATATATATATGTATATATATATATGTGTATATATATATATATATATATATATATATATATATATATATATATATATATGTATATATATATGTGTATATATATATATATATATATATATACATATATATATATATATATATATATATATATATATATATATATATATATATATATATATATATATATATATATATATATATATATATATATAATATATATATATATATATACACAGTGGCGACAATATAAATTGTACACTTTCATGACCAGTTGGTTTAACTTTTTAGTATCAAGTTTTATGTTTTTATAGCAATTGCTTTTTTTTTTATAGCATCAATAATGTTTACTTTTTTGAATAGAACTACTCAATAGACATATACAACTATCAAAATTGCTTGTTTTGTGCATTTTAGCAGTTGCGTTTGTATTTTTGAGGTCATTTTAAATAGCACACATTTACTTTTTCTTATAAAAAAAACAAAGTTCTTGTATTATATCAAAAGAAAATCATTATACTCAGTATGTTAGGGAAAATTGTAACTTATTTTGCAAAAATCATATTTTTTCAACAATGGGACAGTAAAAATGGAATATATATCTTTTGAGGACAAGTAAAGGCATTTCGAGAACAACTCTGAAATAGCTCGAAGATTATGTTGTTTACGTATAAAAGTTATCAGTGTTATTAAATCATTTAACAATACTGGTTCATTAAGCAACAAAAAACGCAAATCTTGCAAACAAAAAACAACACTCAAAGAAGTTGCAGCCATTTTCCGTATTGCAAAGTTAAATCCGTTTCCATGCGCACCAAAAGTTAAAGTTAAAATCATTCAAAATTTACAAGTCAATTTGTCTGTCAGCACTGTCAAAAGTTGCTTACGCAAAAATAAGCTATTTGGAAGAATTGCCCAAAAAAAAACTTTGGTCTCAAAACGCAATCTTGCCAGTTGTTTGAAGTTTGCAAAACAGTACATACACAAGTTTGCAAAACAGTATTTACACAAGGATTTAAGTTTTCGAAAAAATGTGCTTTGAACTGATGAGACTAAGTTATTACTTTGGATCCAACAAAAAACAATATGTTCGTCATCCCCAAAACCAAGATCTCAGCCCTCAGTTTACTCTTAGAGCTGTAAAACATAATGGTGGCAAGGGGATTGTTTAGGGCAGTTTTTTATGGTGTGGCGTGGGCCCACTGCAAAGAAGTCAACAAATAACTGATCAACAGATGTATAAAGAAATACTAGAAAACGTCATGTTGCCTTATGCCAAGAAAAATTTTCCTTTGGTTTGGAAATTCCAACAAGGCAATGACCCCAAGCACACTGCCAAAAGTGTTAAAATTTGGTTTAAAGAAGATTGATGTTTTGTAGTGGCCCGCAGTCACCAGACCTAAAACTGATAGAAAATTTGTGGAAGTAAGTTGAAAAAAACATAAATCAATCAACTGCAACAAATTTACATCAATTTTGGATCAAATTAAAAGCTGCTTAGGGCACCATTATGCCTAAACAATGCCAAAAATTGATCTTGTCAATGGACCGTTGTTTTTAAGCAGTTATTGACTCAAAAGAATACCTCACTAAATATTAATTTACTTCAAATAAAATTTTCTTAACTATTTATATTACTTTCCTTAACTATTATAAGAACTTCTATGATTTTATAGCAAAAGAACAAAATGATAATTCTTTAACAGGGTATGCTATTTAAATTGCCCCCTTAATCTGTACCTCTAAATCATTTAAATGATCGAAATTCTTTCTTAACTAAATTAATATATTTTTTTACTCAGTAATGTTATCTACTAAAACTAATATTTTATTAGGCTAAAAAATGTTAGATCTAAAAAAGACAGATCTCTGGAAAATATCACATATTAAACATCAATCTGTGCTACTTATTTTGACGCCGCTGTATATAATATATATATATATATATATATATATATATATATATATATATATATATATATATATATATATATATATATATATATATATATATATATATATATATATATATATACAGTTGAATTATCCAGGGTCCGAGTTAACGGGATTAAACTGTGTATGTTATATATATATATATATATATATATATATATATATATATATATATATATATATATATATATATATATATATATATATATATATATATATACAATTAAATCCCGTTAACTCGGACCCTGGATAAGTTGGACTTTTATTAAGTCGGACGGAATTTCGATTCCCCTTGAACCTTCTCTATCAACTTACTGTAAAATCATTCACTTAAGTCGTACACTGGTTAAGTCGGACCATTCGCTAACTCATACTGTTTTTTGAGGTCCCTTCAGCAAAAAACTTTGCTTAACTAGGACTTTTATTTTGAATTGCAAATTCAAAATAAAGTGCATAGAATAACAAAACTTCCCATACTTCAATAAAAATTCCAAACTTTAAACATTCGAAAATAAAATACTTTTGCGTCAAATATAGTTAAACATAGCTAAACATTTTCAGGAAGATCTTTTGATTCAGCTATGCTTCAATTAAATTCTATTTGTTAGTAACTATTACATTAAAAACTCAAAAATATCAATTA